CAAGGGTCAAAGTTAAAATACCACTGCGCAATCATGACCAAAAAAAAACACGGGCGAGGCACGACGGATGACGGGCGACGCACGACGGCAGATATGGAATTCCATAGAGGAAGCGATACGCGTGCGCAATGCACATTAAGGCGCAGGCGCCGCGGCAGGCACGTGCGCGTGAGCCTGCACTCAAGCATTACCTAAACTGCATAGACGTATAGCTTGCTCAGATGGCGCCAATAGTAATTAAATTTTTGGGGCAGAGTTATGCATCTTGCGCCTTCGGTGCTATACGATCTTTGGCCTAGCCCCACTAGTGTGACATGGACTCTCACTCCCGCTCCATCCTTAGCCACACATCCTTATTCTCAATTTCATGTCGGCGTACTGAATATTTTCGGCGCACCCACTTATCATCATGGGTGCAATTTCTTTTGCACACGAACATGATCCTTAACCTTTCCGCTTTCTAAAAACCATTTATTGAATGATTTCAGTCACGTTATTCAGGTATTTTCCAGTCTTTTTGCCTTTATCCATTCACTCCAACAGGCTCGCTCTCACAGTCGCCATCTTTAAAATAAGGTGGTTGAACGTTACGTCACTTGACCCCTAATCTTTTCGATGGCTGTTCCCTGTTGAGACATATGTAATACATGGACTGAGCGATAAGATACTACATATACTAATGGGCTCTTCCAAAACATTGGCAGCAGTTTAGATATGGCATAAATACAACTTTTTCCTCAGACCATTTCAATTTTACCAAGCTGAATGATTTTGTCTTCAATGCACATTTACACGATCAGAAGAAATTTTGTCAAGTTTTGGCATTGTATTTGTGGTGGCTGCGTACTAGTGCAGGTTTGCCATGTTTTGTATTCACACAAGAGTGAAATCATACCCAGTGTAGTTTTGGACTTGATTTCCCTCATAGCTGCAAAAGTGCAACACAAATAATTTTTGGTGGCTATTATCAATGGTTCTTTTTTACATCTGTTTTGCCCCCCCCCCAGCTACCTCATTCGGGTTCAGGAATTAGTTGAGATTGAAGGGCCAGGGGTCCTGGTGGAGTTCGATGACAAGGGCCATTCACCTGTACATTGGGCAGCATTAGGAGGCAGCACCAACATCATCCGTCTCATGGTCCAGTGCAAGGTGCCTTTGGGTAAGCTTGAACTACGGCTTTTGAATTCCTCAGATGACCTCATTTCAGTTGCTGGAAACAGGGGATGGCATTGATGACTCTGAAGTTAATTGCAGGTAATTTTAATTGGGCAAAGGAAGTCCCCCCCTCTTTTCTGGCAACCCAATTCGTTGGAATTAATGTACCTCAACATGATCATTTCTTGTCTTAATTTTCTCTACCATGCAGACCTCCAGAGCAAGACGGAGCTTGGTCCGAGGCCTATCCACTGGGCCTGTGTGAATGGTCACATTGCAGTGGTTGATATACTGCTTCAAGCAGGTGTTTCTATTGACACAGTTGATAATAAGGTACATACCAACTCACAGTATTGAAATTTCGGAAATGCAGCCCTGGCCCAATATTGTTTCCCGACCCTGAAATTTTTAGAGTAATAATTTTGGGAAACTTTGACGTTGGAAAGAAAGAAACAACAAAGAAGAGTGCCCATTTTAGTTTGTATGTGACGCAGAAAGGTTTATGACAAACCCAGTACCCTTAAAGTGTTGTCTATCTCATTTGAAACAAATGCCACGGAACCTCTTTTTGTTATTTGTAACCAGTTAACACTTAGCTACAATGTACGCACTGAATAAAAGATGTAGAAAAATTTCTACAAGAAGAAAAAAAATTAACGTTCTTTCCTGCAAGTTCCTATATTGCTTTCAGATGCCATGTAGTGTGAAGTAGAACCATTTTGTGGCCTTAGTAAGCTGTCTTTAGAATGCCAAATCATTATTTATAATTATTTTTTTCAATTGTATTGTTTACAGGGCAGGAACTTTACAGAGGCATCGGAGGCAATTGCCTTGGTGCCCCTGGTCTTTGCCTCAATGCCCACTGAAATGGCTCCATAGACAAGTTGATTTCCTAATACAAGTGCCCTTTGCAAATGAGACATTATCTTGCCCCTTCAAGAATTCTTCAAATTTCTGCCCTGTATTTATAATTATTATATTTTTCAAATGTATGTTTTGTTGTGAGTATTTCAAAAAAGGGGATCGTACAAGTATACGGAGTGCCACATAGTCCTCTGTATTCTTGTCAGTTTAATATCCTGATTTTTTTCCTTCTTTTACAAAAATATGTAGTTTACATGCACCAGACATATACTTACATCCCATTCCTGTGTGAAAGCTAATGTTCTCATTCTGGGACTGTACATACATGTAGGGCTGCACACCGTTGATCATAGCCTGTCAGTACGGACAGACAATGTTAGCTGGATATCTGATGGGTAAGGGTGCCAGGCTACAGCTAACAGACCGAGAGGGCGATAATGCATTACACTGGGCAGCATTCAAAGGTAGGTCATTCCAAATGTTTTCTAGTCACCTGAGGCTGCAATACTGTTAAAAACTCTACATTTTATGGAATTGTTTTTTTTTTTTACTTTGTTATTTGAAAAAAACGGACAAGAGGAAAAGGAAAGAGAAAGAAATTCTGGCCAATCAGGACATGACAAAAGTTGTCAAAGTAACTTTCCAATATTGTCACCTGTTGTGCTGCAGGGAAATGTGAGCTGACAAGATTGCTCATCTACTCTGGCTTCAACCCTCGGCAGAAGGATAACTTTGGTCAGGTAGGATTACAGGAAAGACTTCAAAATCTACCGTAACTGAAAGTTTGCTACACATCATTGTCTCTAATGCGATTTCAAATGACAGAGGTGTTGGATTCTATATTGATTTTAACTTGCCGGGAAACCTTTTTTCAGCAATCATGTTTGAAAAGCTGTATTGGTCCAAATTTTGACAAACTTGGTACACACGTAAAGATATTCACGGCAAGCTTATTGGCAAAGTTTCAAATGAATCTGAATCTGTTATTCCCTCAACAAGCTTTCAGGGTTTACTCATTGCTGTTGCTTCTTGCCTCGAAATAGTAATGTCACCTGATCAAATATACTTTGGCTTGGCACAGTTTTCAGGCTGGATTCACCTCATATGAATCGGTATTCTTTGATTCTGGTCTGTACACAGACTCCCCTGCATCTGGCCTGCATTAACGGCGACTTGAACACCGTCAAGATGCTGTGTGAGCAAGACGGTGTGGAGATGGAGCTGGAGGATCATAACCACAAGACGCCGCTGATGCTCTCTAAGGGGCGTAACCACACCCCTATCATCACTTACCTGAACAACAAGCTCAACAAGAGGAGGAGTATCCTTCCTCAGATTGACTTGAAGTGAGTACTCAGGACTCGGGTGAAGTGGGTTCGCCTTGATCGGAGTAGATCATTTTAGGCAAAGACGACTTGATCAGTGACTGTTTTATGGCACACCTTGCCCTCTGAAGGGTCAGTGTCTGAGACCCACAACAGACAAGCAGCGGCCCCTTTCATCCACCACATCTGGTTTAGTCAGAGTCAACAGAACGTGATCAACTTCAGCCCTTTGTTAAAATTGCTCTTGGGCTGAATCTGACTTAACCCTAACCCCCTAACCTTCCCCATTCACACAAAGTTAAACACCCATATTGGACGTTGTGCACAGAGGCTGTTGGACTTTGTTTTTCTGAGGTATGCCAAACCCAATGCAAAAGCCAGCTATTATGGGCCTACCCGACCTATCCCCACAGAAATTAAACACTTTACTACTGTTTAATTCTGTGTGGTTGGGGAAGGTTAGGGTTAATATGCCCGTAACTGGAAGTAGCATGGGACCCATAGCAGCCACTGGCAAGCCATTGAAGACACTTCTAGCTATTGTCTCAGCCACAGCAAGGTGATTGTAACACAGTCTTGATTGATCCGGCAACCTTACCACATTTGGACAGGCCGTGTCACACATGTCGTGCGTTTTTGTATTTGGTTCTGGCTGTTGTGTTTAAGTCTGGCAGCAGAACGATCTCCATCCTCACATACCTTGAAATGGACATGGTAAGTCACACAGCTTGTTTGTCTGGCATAAGCCAGGGCAGAACACCACGATTTGTTTGTCAACTCTAAGGCTGCATATCTTGAGTTTGCAGCCACAGATGTTTAACCCCATTGGTCTAAGTGAGGTTCAGAATGTATAGATTATGCCTGTACCACCCGTTTTTTGGAGAAGAGATTTTTGCAAACAGAACTTTTCATTTCAAGATGTACTTTGCATCGGGGAGATGTTAGTTTTAATTTCAGGATTTTCCCTTACCTGATGTATATAGTTATAAACACTCTATACTCAGTGCTTGTCCGAGCTTACATATGGTCATGGGCTTGAGTCCCACCCGAGTAAGCTTGTGAATTTTTTTGCACGCTCTCTGACAAGCACCAAGTGTACAGTGTTTATAATTATATACGTCAGGTAAGAGAAACCTGTAATTAAAATCAGGACATTTCAGATGGTGTTTATGCTTTTTTATTTCTTTTCTTGCAGTTTCATTGTCTTTGGACCTCCGGGGAATACCCGAATCCCATTTGTTTTCCTTGTGTTTCAGTTCATCTTCTTTGCGTATCCGATGTATATTTTCAAGGTAAGCATTGAGTGGAGTCAGTTAGTGCTCGACCTTAATAATTGAGCCGTGTGTTGTAATTTTATTGAGGAGAGATAATAGAACTTCAATAATGGGACAATTACGGCTGTAGTGGAGTCTATCATACTTCCGTCACAAGCCTGTCCGACAGCCGTCTCGCGAGTCCCGTCACTTGCCCATTTTGAACCGTTGCATTTGTCAGGCCATGTCTGAATGGCGGGGCTGCCACCTAACATTGTACTCGCCTCAGTGGAATGTAGCTTCATACTCTGCCATAGACTCTTACATAATTTCAAACTCGGGCCAAGTAATTTGGGCACGTTCTTGTTTGTTTGGCTTTGACTTGGTTTAAGATCGGCTGACCTGTGATGAGCTTCTGATAGACCTTGAGGGACTTGCCATTGATGCGACCACACTCTTGGAAACAATTAAAATCGTAACAACCTTAAGATCCGCTAACTGAGAAAGTTTTTTCCGATAATCATTCTGGTATTTTTCATGATGATCATTTGGCATTTCTATTGTAGTTGTTACCTATGTACAGTTTGTATGACTTGCCACACGTGCATTCTCCGTTCTTGGTGTTGAATGCCTTCATGTGGGTCATGCTGTACCGAGCCTACAACACTGATCCTGGATTCTTACCTAAGAACTCACCAGATTATGACCGTGCAATCAGACAGGTAGGCACCCATTCAAGCACTCTCAAGTAATGCTAAACTTAAACACTCTGATGTTGGGCGTCAGGGGCCATCACTCACTCCAACGATTACAACCATGGGGTACTAGATTTTTCCTGTAGAAATATTCCTCCCTATGCACTTGATGCACGTTCACACTTAATCCAAAGCCACCAGTCACTGACTTCCTCAGAAGTTGGAGCATTTTCTGGTTCCATTTTCCATTTCTGTTATCATTTCTTATTTACCCAGACTAGCCCTATGAGTTTCAGGGTTTCCACTCCCTGCCTGTTTTGGTGGATTTCCCCAGAGTATCTCTCTGAACATTTCTTCACTTTCTTTTCCCCCTTTCCTGCCCTCTAGGTAGGTCTGTGTGTTACCAGCAAACTGTTCTCCATTGGGGGGGATGAGGAATTTGAGAGAAGACAGTGAATAAATGTTCAAATAGATATTCCGGGGAAACCCAACAGAATCACGCAGGGATCGAAAATCCAATTCACATAAGGACCTACGTAGGATTTGAACCAAGGTCACAGAGATGGAAGGCAAAGACAGTAATGTTCTGCCAACCTGACCCCGTAAGACGGGTGTTCAAGAGCTTTAGATATGCTGAAATTTACTGTTCTCCATCTTCTCTGGACACTGTTAAATGGTTCTGTCATTGGAAGTGAATAAAAAATGAAGCAAGGTTGGTTTTTTTCTTTTGGTCCCGTCAGGTTGCCCATTTTGATGAGTGGAAGCAAGGCAGAAATCCTCTGAGTCGATTATGCCATACTTGCCGTATCGTCAAACCACTACGCACTAAGCACTGTAGAACGTGCAATAAATGCGTCCGACACTTTGACCATCACTGTCCGTATATCTACAACTGTGTAGGCTTAAAAAACAGGTTGGTGTAAATATCGGAGAGACAGTGGTTTACATCACTTCAAACGTCTTTGTGCAGTCTGTTGACTTGTACTATCTAAGACCTTAATTCTTGTACTCTCCATTATATGAGAGCGTCATAAAATGAATATATTTTGTGTGATCCCTCCATTTGTGTGATGGGACAATTGTTACACTGTCATTGTTTCAAAAAGAGGGAAGTCAAGATCAAGATTTATGCATGATCAACAGATAGCACAGCATGAATGACTGAAATTGCCGAACAGATTTACAAATACAGTCGTATGCCTTTGTAACAAGGTTGTTTGGACTTAATAAATTACTTGATGAAACATGTATCTTGTACATATAAATGTACTATCAATGTTGGCAAACAGAACAGAAAGAGTTAGAACCTGACATTTTCCTTTTGTAAACAGGATATGTTAACATTTTTCTAATTGTCAGTATTTGACTGCATTTTTGATGGCTCGGTGAGTAGCTCACTGGAACTGTTGTCTAGAGGACTTGGGTTGGATTTTCCAGTCCACTTATTTGATGTTTATATTTGTGACCTTTCCAGAGTCTTCTTCACAGGGTTCACCACCTCTTTGATGGCCATGGCCATCTTTACATTGTATTTCTGCTACCTTGCTATTCAGCGAGATGGTTGGAAAATACTTTACGTCTTGGGCCTTCTGGACGTCGTGTTCTTTGGCTTTGTGGCAGGCGGGCTCTCTGTAACAGCCGTAAGTACCTTGCAAGAGTCCAATCCTTGTGGACTCTTGCAGTAGAAATGGTATGATTTGGGCTCCAATGCAGTGAAGGGGTTTCTGTCCATAGGTGTATCATGTGTACCGCTATATGAGACTTGCAGTGTGTAATGTGAACCTGGACGACGTAGGGATTGACGGAAGGCTTGCAATAACACTTTACACTCTCATCTGTCTTTTTTGTGAGTTGTCTGGCTCTGAGGAGAAAGTTATTCTAACTAGTTGTTGAAACAACTGGTTCCTCTCAACCACGTAGCTCAAAAGAGTTTAGCTTCCATGGTGTTATAGTTACCACAAGAGTGAGCACTTTCTTCTTTTGAAACAGTTTTTGGCACCTCTCTGTCCATTCTTTTGAAACGATTTTTGACACCTCTCTTCGCAACAGGCATGCTCACTTCCGTGTTGGAGGATTCAATGAGCAGAAACAAATTAGGAGTAAGTTATCCTCTTTTTTTGTCTGCCTCCAGTGGTACATGGCAGTAAAAAACATCAACACCAATGAGCGCGTGAACTACAAACGCTACGACTACTTGAAAGATGCCAGTGGCCACTTCTTCAACCCTTACAACCGTGGCGTAATACACAACCTCAAAGAGTTCTTCCATTTAAGAGCGCCCCCAAGTGACGAGGAGATAGAGCAAGCATCTGTGTATACTGTATAGCAGCTTAAGTAATACCTCAGGTAGAGCATCTTGTCTTGGTATCTGCAATATGCATGAAGAAGTTGCTGATCTCAAGGTCATTAGGACTTGTATTGCACTTGATCTGCAAAAGGCAGAACGCATCTCCAACCACCCTAGCTATGATGTATTTGTATAATCAGCCATATTCATATCAGTGTATCAAGGAAGATGTGTCATCTTATTGCTGTCATCACGTCTCTTAGTAGGGGATTTTTAAGGTTCCACAATCCACATTGAGGCTGAATGCTTTGCATATTCAATTTTTCTCAGATTTCAGATTGCTCAGTTAGATAGCTAGAAGATGATGGAGGATGTATGAAATTGGGAAGAAAGGAGTGCCAGAACAAATTGAAAACCAATCAAGGGTGTTTTGGGGATAGGCCCAAGGTGCACCTTTGGTGCAACTTTGATATCAATAAGTCACCTATTTTGTTTTCGAGATCAGTGGCCTTCTTGTCTCCTATTTCAATTTCATCGTAGTTTCACATTATCCGCGCAGGGTTACTGGTGTCCTGTTTCCAAGTGATTTCTGAAAATAGGAAGTATTAGTTATTTCTCTCGTAGTAACACTGACGACATACAGTTGCTCTTGCTCATCTCTCTTGATCAACCTTGGAGTATTCTATTCTTTCCCCAGATCATCGATCATGCAGATGATCTTATTTATAATGCAAATTTGCTCTGAAAGAGAGAATTGACACTGACCTGCTTGCTGAACAATTTTGTTCTGTGTTGGACTGCAGAATGAGAGTGCTTCTCAACCCTGTACCGACCCACCACTAATATGTGCTTCATGCAGGATTGAAATGATGCGTGCATTGCATGTTGTTGAAGCTGGTTGATGAGTAAAGATGACTTTAGGATGGTTTATATCAATAGGACCTGTCCACCTAGGTAGACATGTCATACGTATGCAGAGTTTGACATCTGATTGATTTCTCAATTGCCGAGTGATGATTTTTGAGTGATGATGCATGAAGATCTTTGTTGTTATTCAGCTTCCAATCTCAGCTCACACTGTACCAGTGATAGGTGTACTCCCTCCTTGATGGGTTTGCTTCAAATTTAGCTCAGCTGGACTGACTTTACCCCAAACTAAAATCAGATATTCCTTGCATTGTCAACTCTGAAGTGATGCTTGACTATTGTGTGATGTGATGAAATTAAGAAACATACTTTGATGCAGACAGTGAGTGGTGGCGATGGACAATATTCTTGTGTCGGCCAATTTGAATTGACTCTGAGGTAAAACTTTTCATGTTGGGAACCTGAGAGTAAACTAACAGCGACAAAATAAAAGTTTAGAATATTTCAAAGATGTCATAGTTTATATCTAAATGTTTTAAGCCACATTTTAAAAAAAATGAAAGTGACGTTTTGAACCCAAATAGTGTGGCACTGCCCCATTTATCGGATTACAATGAGACAGATTCAGGGAACAAGACAAAACATGGCTTCTCCACGAATAAGGTCTATTCAGATTCAATCTTGCATCGCTTGATAATTCTTATTATTACACAGGGCATTTTAGCATTGCTTCTGTTATAAATGGACCTGTTGCTTCTTAAAGGAATTTTGATTTATTGTTTTCCTGAAGTTCTGGTCATCAGGTTTTGAGCTGCCTGGTGTGAATTTCACCCCCTGAGTGAGGACGTATTACTTTTTGTATGCCAAAACTATACATTTGTGAAATAAATCATTGTACATACTCGCGGTGAATACAATTTAAGGGTTGTGATTTGTTCCTTGTTGGTTAGTGTTATAACTTTCAAGTGGTACTCCAGCCACGTGTTCTGCTTGAGGCCCACGCCCGCTCTGTCTCACTTGGATGGGGAATTTGCAGAAGGGGAAACAGCTTCGCGAGGCCCCTTTAGCTTATAGTGTCCCGTTTGGAAAAAAGGTGGTAGGGGTTGCAGGTGAGTAGGTTTAATTGTGACTCCTGACCAGAGCGTCGGGGGTTCGAATCCAGCTCCACGTACTTGCCGTAAGTTGTGGCCTTGAGCAAGCCACTTTGTTCCCCCTCCCTTACTTGTCCGCCTCCGCCTGGGATTATAAACGGCTTCCAGCATTAAGCTAGGAGCAACCTTCGATGAACTGGCATCCCATTGAGGAGGACAGACATATCAGTCTCAGTCTTCATACTAAGATACTGGATGAAAACACCCGGACCCGTCGGCCTGGTAAGCCGGATGGCGCGGAACAGACCTGCTTGCTCCAGAAAAATGGACTCCTCGCGCCACTACTGTCAAGGTCATGTTTTTCCATTATTATATTTCTTTTGGCAGTTTTGTTAATGCCTGCAAGAAAGTATAATCGAAATGTTGGGGGGGGCAGGTGAAGTTGATGTGAACTTGTCGGAGTTCTGAGAGCGGGAATTCAGCAAACGGTAGTAACTATATGTTAGTTGAAAGTATGCATTCAAAAATTGGAAATACATGTATGTCCATGTAATGGACAGACTCGGTCGATTTTGTTTTGGTAAGATGCTTATCAGAAGTACCATTTTTATTCGTTCTTTTAATTTGTACATTTCAAACTGGCCCATTTAGTGTTTTTATTGTCATATTACAAGCACCGGCTTGTTATTGGTGGCGGAGACTGACATAGCCTAATGGATGATGGAAACGTTATGATGATGATGATGTAAGACTCGTTTTATTCACAAACAGCCACTTAATTTTACTAGATAAATAAACGGCTTCACGAAAAAAAAGCGGATGAATATTAAAGTACATGTATAAAAGCCCGAGGAGAATCATCCGGGGGTCAGGCCGTTCAACCAATTCGAAGCCAAAGATTAATACTGAGAAACCTTTGTCTCCCGTGAAGCATCCCAGAACAATCAACAACTTTCCAGAAAGGTGGCCGGGCGAAGGACTTAGTCCATGTAGTGTTGAACGAGACTGGTGACATCACAGCAACCGTCGGAAGTAACGAGGTTGAACGGAATGGTCTGTTCTGTTATAACCCTGTGCTGTCCAATACGTTCATTATGTCCACCAGGTAGTAATCACAGGTAAAGGAAATCGGTCATGTAGGGTTAAATTGACGTTAAATGATAGTTTTCAACATTAAGTTGGATTAAGCCCTCTTTTAAGTCATTAAATAAGCAAAAATTGGCGTTTTCTGTGTGCTTTTTCCGGTCTCCGCCTGGTCTCTTCGCAAAAACTTATCGAAATCGGTCAATGAGGGCAGGAGACAAATCTTGGCAAAAAATGTGACGTCATTGGACGGACTCGACTTTCCAGTACGTTCATGATGTCCACTAGGTACGGTAGTAATCACAGTTAATGATTAATATGCTAGAGCATCTTATGCGGAGAAATGTTTGCTCAAAGAGAATGCTTCGCATCTTGAATTCTCCGGATGAGTAGGGCCTAAACTATTTTTTTGTCGGGCGATATTGAAATGCGGGAAATGGATGCGCGCCTGTACTCGTCTTCTTGGCGTTGACCTACATCAACCAATGAAACGCGTCGGTCCGGTAACTCTTGTTGCTATGCCACCGTAGACTGTGCTCTATTTAGCTTTCGCTGCGTGACTTTACACTACTGATCAATCCACAGTTCCTTAATTCAAAAGGTAGCGTGTGCTTTGTGGATGAAGTACCCTCCTGACCACAACTCTGAACTTATAATCCAGTTCACACGTAGTTCAATTCAGGTTATAGAGTCTGTTAATTGCAATTAAAAATCATCCCCGAAATTTCTAAATTTATCGGCCATGTTAAAGCCCTCTGCCCGTATTCAGGCACTTTCGAGCGGTGGGGCAGTAGGCCCTATGCCAGGCTCAGTTGAGGAGTCGGACTTTGTAATCGCGGACAATGCATCGAGGAGTGTGGACCACGAGGAGACAACAAACCGGAGAGATCTCCGTCAAACAGCCGATGATCCTGTCGGACTGGAAGTCAGGAACAAGAGGGTGTTGTTGTTCAGGGATTTCATGTCAGAAACATCCTTGCACGGTATCAAGTACGTCACGAACTCCAAGTATCACATATGCAGACGGTGAGTATACTGACATTTTACAGGGCGACATCTGAACGTTTTGGTCACAGAATTACGGCCAGACATTCCAACACTTGTTTTGTGCTGATGAAAAACACGTCAAGGACAAATCCAAACCCAAATGTTGTCATGGCACAAACACTGGACATGAATTGACTTTACATCACATCACCCATCGCTTTTTGAGAAAAACAACGTAGGGCATTATAGCGATTTTAAACCCGGACGGGTACCAAAAGGTATTTCTTAGTTTAATCGATATTCAAACACAGGGAAAAAAGATAGTGGACGTCGGGCTGCTGTCAGCTTAATTGTTCTTTATATATAGAAAAATGTAGTTATTGTATTGCATTGTATGGCATTAAAATGTGAGGCCAATGTCATCTTTTTGCCGTCCCTACTTTTTGGCCGCTGTTATAATGGCCTGTGAAGGTTGTTTTAATTTACAAACCCTTTTTAAAATTCATGTCAGCTTCTTCGTCATGGTGCCCCTTCTTTGAAAATGCTTTCCAAACTAATTGCAGATAAGTACTCCAGCGTCCTACTTCGATTTGTCGCTCGTGCTACTTTATTACCAGCAATAATTGTCTTCATCAGTTGTCTAGCGTCGAGCTACTGTCCATTTCCATTTTGCTCGTCAGTGGCATCGTCCCGCCTGATGTGTTTGCAATCCATTATCATTAGCCACTGCCAGAGGCCTAAATAATGTAGAGGCTAAGTGCAACGATGCACCAGCAATTCGCAGTTTTACCTCAACTCATGCATGTTGCTTTTAGTACTTTCTGAAATGTCAGAGGAGAGGCCTAAAATAGAACAAGAAAGAAACGAATGACTCAGTAAAGGGAACATGAGAATACAGATCTGGTAATATGATTTTAAGGAGGAACAAAAATTGATTCAGTGACATAAATACAAAAATAAAGAATTAAGAAACCTGCGAAAAGCTGTGAACAAATTCCATGATTAGTAATTCGTACAGCAAACCATAAGCAAAAACCAAAGAGTTACATTTCTATACCATGGTGGAAGTCAAATGTACGTGTTTAAATTCAAAATAAACATTAATGGACAAATGAAAAAGAGACAAAATAAAAAAAGGTTATTAAGTAGTTAAGTGTGTCTGCCAAACGAAAAGCATAATACATAGGGAGAAACACAGAAAACTTATTGGGAAAACACATGGTTTTATCGAGAAAAAAATCTACCTAAGCTCATGAGAGATCATGTCTGTACTCATAGGGAGATCTTCGGTTGGTTCAGTGGCGTGTTCAGGGGGCTGCCTCCCTGACGATTTTTTTTTTTAGTTTCTTTTATTTCTGAGTCAGAAATAATTGACGTAGGCCTATTTAATTATCAAATATTAGCACCAAAACCCTTAGAAACAACACTAGCAAAAAAAGCAAAGATGTCGGGACTTGTTGAATGAGCAGAAGCTGCATTCGCTTTTGAATTTGCCCCCCCCCCCCTCCCTCACCAAAAGGTTGACACGCCAGTTGGTCCACGGATTGTTTTCACCGATAGTCGTGTGCCATGGCCGTGAAGGTTGTGAATGACCATAGAAAATAGGCCGAAATTACCAGTCCAAGAAATTTATTAGTAAACTCGTGCATGAAGTTCCTGTTTGAAGTCTGTTATTATTGTCCATGAGAGTTCATGTACTAAAAAGGGCAAAGAGAGCTATCGGTGCGCTGTGTTCCTGAGAATGTAAAACGTGATCGTTCTTTAATCGCTCGTTTTTGGCCAGTTCGAGGAGAGAGTTCCTCAGTTGGCTGTAGAGCACGCTCAATTTTGAAGTAGCTCAGATAATAGGGGTAGAGAAAGTTGTGATAGAGAATAGGAGGGGGAAGAAAAGTTCAAAGTTTTGAGAGAATACCTGACTTTCTAGAAATAATTGTAGTAAGAAAATAAATATGGCCATTCCACGTCAGTTTATCATTGGTGATGACGTAAAGAAGTTTAGCTGAATGCACCTGCGAAATAGGTTCGCTTTCAATGCAAAAAAACCGGTAAGAATGGAGTAATGAAAAGTATGAATTTAATTTTTCCTGTATCGAGTGTCAAGTATTTAAAGTTTCACTTTGGACTAGTTAAAATATTTTCGCGGGAAGTCACCTTGCCTCTTTGGTCCATTCCCAGCTTCGTATGGCTGATTCTCTTCTTGGCTGCCTGGACCGGCTTCATCATTCTCACTGCCGACCACTTTCGCACTTTCTCTGAGTTTGACACCACTACATCATTGAGCTACATGCCTGTGTCCAATCTGACCCTCCCAGCTATCACCATCTGTAACTACAACGCTTTCAAGAAGTCAGCCGTCATCGAGTCTGGATGGGAGTCTTTGGTTCCTCACCTACTTCCTTTCTTAACCACCACTTCTTTCCCCCAAAACGAAGTGGATGTTACTTCTCCTGACTACGAGAATCTTACCTTCCCTGACTGGGAAGCAGAAGAACTTAGCACGAGATGGGGGCACAGGATCGAAGATATGTTACTGGAATGTCGATGGAAGCAAAGCTTCACCTGCGGCCCACAAGACTTTGAGGTCAGCTGGCACTTTGTTAACATTTTCAAAGGCAAAACCAAGTTTCTTTTTCAACTCTCATACGAGTGCGTGTATAATACAGTCGTGGTTGAAAAGTGAGCTCGTTGCCAAAGTGACAATCATTTATATTTCAACACCATGTCATGCACGCATCATTTGCTCGGAGTTTCTGGCGCTATTAATGAACCAAGCTCACCCCTTGCCGGCTTTAAATGCACTTGCTCAAAAAACAAAACCTCATCGCAAGTTTATTCGAAGATCAAAGCACTAACAGTTATATCGAACGCTTTACTTTGTGAATCTACGCTTGTCCACTGAGTGGTCCTTTTT